GACACATGGCCGAAAAGGACACCCTTCTTTTCCAGAGTTTAAAAAAAGCCTTTTTAACAACCTAGATTATCGTGACCTCCATAAATGGATAAAAGAACATGTGGAACTGTGGGGCACAATCTATGAAAAATAATTCGGCATTCAAAACATATTGTTAACGTTAATCTTTAATTACAACTTAGGCCTTACTGTACGAGTGCACCATATTTGGAATCCAGCCAGATTTGGGGAATATTTCGGCCGCATTTGAAAATTGATAAAATGTGTGTTATTTGTTCTTTTATGTCATTATTTCATTGCCATAGATAACATTACGACAACAAAATAGCAATTTTTTGGTTCATTTTTTCAATGATTGTTAATATGTTTGATTCAAGCTTGATTCTTAATTGATTCTATTTACATATTCTCTGGTGATTCAATTTAATTATCACTGTAATTACTGTCATCGTTGCTATCACTGTCATAAAATTGGCATTCATCAAAATTAAACCCAGTGTGGGTGTCAAGACAAGGCATAAGGCTAAACAACTCTAGTGTTGCCTCTAGGTCAGGTATGTCTAAAAATATCTCTTGTATGATCTCTAAAACGTGTACAGCATTTCTAACTGAAAATACAGGAAAATTAAAAAGAATATCGTCAATGGTAAATATGGATGAGCATTTGCTTACAACATCAGTTATCAATTAATTGTTTTGAATAGCCATGACTTGATGTGTGGTCAATTGAAAATCCCTGTTTGTTCATGTCCATGGCAATCTCTTCCAAAGCCTCGGAGAGATCTTGACGATCAATGTCAGATACATCCCTAGTTCTTGGTGATGATTCTTTGGAAACTGTGGCATGCTTTTTAAATGGCCAGACCTCTGCATTACACAAATCGCCATCACATTGGCAACTTTTAAAACAAAATGAGCAGCAGTCATGAGCAGGGGACAATGGTTTTATGTTTTTAACTAATGATTCATATGCAGCCACACGAAGACATCCTTCACTTCTTAAAAAATGCTTTACTTCTACTACACATGGTCCAATTTCCTGTCCATGGTAAAGGCATACCACATGTGACAATTGTCCATCTCGCCCAGCTTCTTGGTGGAAATCTAACAGTGATCTTGCTGCTCCCCATGTTACAATATACCGGATATCCGGGAAATTAACTCCCATACACAATGCAGTAGTCGCAATGACTATTCTTTTCAGGCCACCATCTTTTTCCTTCAGCTAACTGGTTATGCGCTCCTTATTCTGTTCCCAGGAATTTGAATGATAAATTCCCAAAAAACAGTTCTCAGGATCCTTAATTTGCTGGTCATATGCACTGGCACCAAGCTTGCAAAGTAGATAATTGGTTACCTTTGTGATTTCATTAATAGTGTTACAGAACACAAGAGTTTTTGGTGTCTTTTTACCATGCTGCTTTACCAAATCTATAAGCCATTGTAACTTCCCCAACTGGTCTTCCTTTTTAGTGCAAAGTTTGAGAAACTTTGCAGTATTGTGATGAGTGGCGAAAATTCAAACGAGTCAGTAAGTCAGTCAGACAGTCAGTCAGACAGTCAGTCATAGTGTAAACTTTATGGGGGGTGCTATGATATATGTTTGTTATGCTCTATTGTACTTATTCAGTCCTTTTCAGGTTATTTAATTAATTTCAGTTGTTTTATTTATGTAATCTTAATAAGGCTCACAAAAATCTTGAGGAATCTTTGTTGTTATTGTAAGTTTTATAACATTCGTTTCTCGTATTGTCGGTATTGCGTAAAGGAAAATAACTTCATTTACCCCCCGGAACACCCGATGCGTTCTTTCGAAACGCAAAAAATGCGTATTGTGTTCTAGTAAAGTCATAGATGATTCACGCAGTTGATATATTACGAAGGAGCGAGAAAGTGTTGTTTCCTAACATTTCACAGGTGCATTTTGAGTAAATCTTCGATAATCTACGGAATATTAAAAATTGTTCTATGCATCACAGGCATTCAATTTGATACCGATATTATTTTGACGATATATTCATTGTACAGAGCTACGAAGGAGCGAGACGTTTTCAAATTTTAATGCTATATTTAAAAAACATTTTGTGTAAGTTGAGTATTTTTGTATGTATTTACCGATGCATTAATACGAGTTTGTCGTTGAGTTAAGTGCCAAGAGTAAACAGTATATTTATTAAACAGAAAAATAGAATGGAGCAAGGCAGTGTTAATTTCAATTGTATAATATAAACACAATTCGGCTGTGAATTATGACAACTGAATCTGAGATTCTACGCGATACTGTTTATGGACATTTCAAATAAATACTATTAGAGGAAATTAGACGGCATATTCATTTTAAAGCGACTGTATATTGTGTTATATCACAGCCCCTGCTACGTGCATGCAGCATATGCATATGCTAATATGCATGTAGCATAAGCTGTGATATATGTTACATCTATATTTCAAATCAGGGTTGCTTTGTATTTCATTTATACGATCGATTTCTCGCATTGATGTATAGTAATAAATAGACCGCAAACACCGCCATTCGGTGGCTTGTCTACACATTACTATAGTCTATTATTACCAGCATTATGTTTAATCCATTTCTAGAAGCAAATCATACAATTTTGATATCATGGACTTGAAACATAACATATTCCATTATTTTATTTACTCATTATGATAAATATAGAAATGATTATAGGGTTCAGAGATTAACGTTGCAATAACAACCGCACGTGAACAACACGCTGCTAATATTCAATATGATTGGTTAGTGCATGAATGCCACACAGTCAACATTTATCCTCAACATAAAGTGAAACATTGCATCAGATCAGTAGTGCGTTAACAACAAAACGAAGTAGGTGTGTGAAATGGCGTTAACGAAGAAAATACGTTCTGGGATTAAAGAAAAACTCTTGACTCGTCAGAGCTCAGTATTTAAACTAGGAAGACGAGGAGATAACCAATATGTTATCGCCAATCGCTTGACTTGCCAGCGAGCCTCATGTAATCAAGGAAAAAGGCAAGGAGATAGCCCACGTGTTATCGCCAATCGCTTGACTTGCCAGCGAGCTTTATGCAATAGAAGAAAAAGGCAAGGAGGTAGCCAACGTGTTATCGCCAATCGCTTGACTTGCCAGCGAGCTTTATGCACTAGAAGAAAAAGGCAAGGAGGTAGCCAACGTGTTATCGCCAATCGCTTGACTTGCCAGCGAGCTTTATGAAATAGAAGAGAAAGGCAAGGAGGTAGCCAACGTGTTACCGCCACAGACCCCGTTCACGGGTCTAGCACAACGGTGCAAAATCGTGTTCAATGCAAAGAGAATTTATGTGAATCAAATGCTATAAATGTGAAACTATTGAAAGCTAAAGTGAAACTATTGAAATGTAAAATAATATTGAATACGTCATACAAAAACTCGAAAACAGGTCGTAATGAGAAATTTGACCTTGGGGATAAATCAAATGTCAATAAGCAGTTATTTTGAAACTTGTCCCAATTTTAATACAGATCCCAACAATCCCAACAAATGTAACAATACACACGCAATAGATGCAAATGTAGAATTATTACCCGTATCATCTACATCTTCAATCTCGTATAGTAATTTTAGTCGGTGTAGATCACGCAATAAATGTTTAAAACATGTCAAAAGACGAGATCGAGAGCCGTCTAGAATTCCCGTGAAAAAGCTAGTTCATTTGATGAGCAAAAATCGAAAAAGTAGGCGCATGATAAAACGGTTGATTAAACATTCTATTCCTAAGTCCTCTTGCTTTCACAATTTGCTTTCGACAAGATACCGGAAAGATGTCATTCAGCAACAAGCAAATGCATTTATGTGGAAATTTAAGAGGGTGTTTCATGCTAAATCTAAGAGTAAGAGAATACGAAGGGCTGTACGTAAACATTTGTTAATGCAAAACTTGTCAAGTGTAAAAATCAATATAAAGCGTGCTAGAACTAAAAAACACAAATTGCCTAAGAGGAAAATAGTTAAAACTCGTATTATGGGCGCTACTAAATGTAATATGCAAAAAATAAAGACATCTGCCAGAAATTTCTTATTTGTGTGCGGTGATGTAGAGTTAAATCCGGGTCCCATAAATACTTCAAATATGTCAGTATTGACCACAAGACTAGCTCAAATAGGATGAAAGCCAGTGAACATTATTGGTGATGGTAACTGTTTATTTCGTAGTGTAAGCCACCAGCTTTACGGAACAGAGACTCGTCATGTCCAAATAAGAGCTCATGCAATCCAACATTTAATACTTCGCCCAGAATATTTCATAGAGTCTAATACTGAACAATCATGGTCGCATTATTTACAGAATATGTCAAGACTAGGTTCTTGGGCAGACCATATTAGCATACAGGCAGTTGCGAATGCACATAATTTGAGGATTCATATTACAGAAACTGCACACAATTTTGCTGAAACTACAGTTGTTACCTCTATTTATGCTCAGTCTGGGGGAAATGTAAGAGATATCTACATCGGACATCTTGATGAACTACATTATGTTTCTATAACACCAATTCAACAATCTGCTTCTGAACAAATACGAAATCAGACAGCAACTGGTAAACAAAAACTATCGGGAATTGTTTCCCCCGATCAATAATCACTCGCAGATTCTGGTTTTCTTTTAAAAGTTTTTATTCGCAATATCTACTCTCCGCGCTGTCTCACACCACTCTGCCCTCACTCTCATCTCACTCCCATACTTATCTTGTCAATCAGCTGTTATTTTACCTTGTTCACATTACTCGCACATATTTCGCAATGTCTCCTATAAATGTTCTGCAATTAAAAGTTCAATTAACGCTAATGTATATATATATATATAGTCACTAAATGATGAATAGCTGTCAACTTCCCAACACCCTCCCCCTATTTGCTACACGAAGGTAACAAATATAATAGAACAATCTTAACAAAACGTTTTATAATAAAGTTTAATTGTACAAAATATATCGTTCTCTTCATTTTTCTTCACTGTCACTCTTCATCTCCGGCATTTTCACGTATTCGTATCGCTGCGGCTGCTGCGGCGTCTCGTTTCGGTCTAAATTCTCCAACAGATGGATCCAGACGAGGATCCATATCTCGATCGTCTTCCTTTTCTGGCTTCGTTATGTCGCACGAGAGTTCTAGCGGGTACAGGTGTTGTATGGCACGTTCTAGGTGGCTTTTACCCGCTCGCAGCTTCGCTACACGAACAACTCCGTCACGACCGGCAATCAGGTCCTCCACGATACCTAATTTCCACTTGTTCCGGTTGCGTTCGTCGGCTCTGATTATCACCACGTCACCTACTTTCAACGAGAATCTCTTGTTGTTGTGTTTGAGATTATGTCTTTCTCGCAACCCTCTCACGTACTCGTTCGTCCATCTTCTCCACATCATGTCTTTGCATTTTTCGATGCGCTTTGCGGTCTTTCTCAAATCCACCTCTTCTATATCTCGATAATCTTGTGTCGGTAGTAGATTCGGTCGATGGAACATCAGGGAATTTGGTGTCAGTATTGGCATTTGTAGATCGTCTTCGACGTAGCTGAGGGGTCTGTTGTTTAACGCCACTTCGACATCAAGCAAAAGATCTTGCAACGCATCCCAGGCAAGTAAGGTGCCCCCGCCAGCTTTGTAAAGTGCGCGCTTTACTAGACCAACAATTCTTTCGAACTGACCACCCCACCATGGTGCTCGACTCGTGTTGAATTGCCATTTTATCTCGTATTTCGCGAGCCAGTTGTGTAGTTTTTCATCTCTCATGACATGTTTGAGCCAGTTTGCTGCTGCCACAAACGTCTTGCCATTGTCAGAGTAGATCTTCTGCGGCCGTCCTCGTCTGGCGATAAGGCGTTTCAGGCTTTGTAGGAACTCGTTAGTTTCTTGATTCGGCAGTAGTTCAACGTGAACTGCTCGGGTTAGACTGCACGCGTATAGTACTATGTAAGATTTTGCTTCGCGTTTCTTTTTGGGTTAGTATTGATGGGTCCCGCGTAGTCTACTCCGACAACTTGGAACGCTGCATCACCTTCTGTTCTATCTCGGGGAAGGTTTCCGGTTGGTGGGGTTGCTACTGCGACTGCTCTGAATCGTTTACATGTATTGCATTTCTTTGTCACCCGTTTAGCAATGCTCCTAAGACGCGGGGTCCAATACTTCTCTCTGTGCTTAGCCATAGTCATTCCAACTCCCCCATGGCAGCTGAGCTTGTGGGCATGCATTATCATCTTTTCGGTGAGTAGTTCGTTACCAGGTAAATACACGGGATAATGTCCTTGTACTCTGCCTTGGCACTCGTAGAGGCCTTTCGCGTTTTTCTTCAAGTTCAGCCGTTGTTGGTCTTCCTTGAAGGCTTCCGTCTCCTCGTTTCGTTGTTGGACTCTTTTTTCCCAAAATTCAATTTGTCGACTCATCTCCTCGGTTGTTAAGGGTCCAACTATCTTGTTATCGCGACTGTTCTTCATATTGTTCACGAAACGGCTCATTCTCGCTGTTATTCGGAGCGTTTTCCAGTAGTCGTACTTCTTCAGGAGTTCATCCAAATCGTCTTCCAGTGGAACTGCCACCGCGAATATCTCTTTCACCGCTTTTGTTTCGGCTTGTGTCTCACTGGTATCCCGGGTAGTGATGTTGGGGGGCCATTTCTCTTGATCGAGCAACCAGCCGGGCCTTTCCACCAAAGACTTCCAGATTGCTTTACGTTACCACCTCGGCTGCCAAGATCGGCAGGATTATCCGCTGACGTCACGTGCCGCCATTCGATGTAGCTCCTCTCCTGGATTTTTCTGACACGGTTCCCCACGAACTGTTTGAATTCGCCATTCCCACGGATCCAGTGTAGGGCTACAGTGCTGTCTAGCCATCCCAGAACTCGCTGGACTGGAAATCCTTCTAAGGACTGTTTCACATTGTGAACCAGGTTAGTTGCCATGTGCCCCGATACTAGCTCGAGTCTCGGTATCGTTAAGCCTTTCTTGGCCAGCCGCGACTTTGCTGTGACGAGACCACTGCTGACACTGGACGGTTGTCGTACGATCGCGTACACGGCTGCAGAGACTCCTATCCCACTCGCATCGCCGAAAGCATGCAACTCGATAGATTCGATTGGCTCCTCTGATTTAGCAAGGCTTCTCGGTACGGTGACTTGGCTTGGTAGGACTTGTTCGTACTTCCACCATCTTTGCTGTAGTGTACTCGGTAGGGGTGCATCCCAGGCAATTCGAAGATCACAAGCGTCCCTGTAAAGCGTTTTTCCCGTTAGGGTTAATGGAGATATTAGGCCAAGTGGGTCGTATATTCTCGCCATCTTCCCTAGAATCCCTCTCTTGGTACAATTCGCGGTATCGTTGGGGATGTTCACTTGAATGTTATCTTGATCTTTATCCCAAGCAAGACCAAGTAGCTTCGTCTCCCCCTGTTTTACTCCAAGTTGTTGCTTGGCATACGTCTGATTGTCGTCGTTCGCTGTTGTGTCTTCATACTCGACTTCCTTGGCGTTTGAGTGCCATTTATGCAATTGAAACCCAGCTTCACCGAATACTTCTTTTGCTGCTTGCTTTAACTCGAGAGCCTTGGGTTTGCTATCTGCTCCGCCGATGAGGTCGTCTACGTACAAACTTCTCTCCATCTCTTCCACTAGGTCAGGATACTTTGGTTTGAGGCCTCGCAAATGTTCCTTGATCACGCCAGCAAGCAGGAATGGGGAAGGTGCCAACCCAAAGAGAGCTCGAGTAAATCTCAGGACTTCTTTCTCCTTGGTTTGTAGGTCTTTCAGCCAATGGAAACGCAAGACGTCACGATCGTTTTCCCGAATTCGCACTTGCAAAAATGCTTGTTTCAGATCTCCCGTCACTGCGATTGGATGAAATCTGTTTCGAACCAGCACATTCCACAGGAGGTTTTGCAAGGGAGGTCCGGTCTCCAGGCAATCGTTAAGTGATGGTACTTTCGGGTTAGCCCGTGCTGAAGCGTCGTAAACCACGCGCATCTTCGTCGTTTCGGCTGATTCTCGGATGACAGGTTTGTGAGGAATGTAAAATTCCTTGCCTTTCGCGTCGTTATCCACACGTTCTACAATTCCTTGCTCGAGCTGATCTTGGATTATCTTATATTGCTCTAACGAATCTTGCTTCTCCAGTTTTCGTATTAGGTTGTCAAGTCGACTCAAACTGCCCGCCATATTGTTTGGTAGTGAGGGATGATTTCCCTTCCAAGGGAGGCCAGTCTCGTACCACCCCTCCGGATTTCTTGCCAGTTGTTCCTTGAACTCTTCGTACACCATGCTCTGGTCGCCCGTTGCAGAGTCCTCTAGTCCAAGTACGTCCAGTCTACACAACTGCTCGTAGTCCGGGCAAGCAGTTTGCGTCATTAGCATTGGGGTCAGGTTGATTTCTTTGCCGGGGGTAAGGATTGTCCATCCAAATTTCGTAAGCTCGGCTACCGGCTCATTGGGACGTCCAATCTTCGGTTTGGTCTCGGTCTTAATTCGGGCATATTCGCTTGCACCCAGGATTAGGTGCACTGGAAGTTCCGGTTTTTTGTCGTTGTCATGCATCTGGACATCACTCAAATGTGGAAATTTGGCTAAGGTCTCTTGGTAATTGGGGTTTTTTAACGTCAACAACTCCTTACGGTCCACCTTGGTTACTTCAATATGTAATTGAAAGTCCCCTTCGAGATTGTTGATAGACATGTTGTAAACACTAATTACCTTGTTGACCGATCCCAACATCATCTCAATGTGCTTGAATTCTTTTCTCGTTGGTTTAGCTTTGATTAGATCTATAAGGGCTGATGACGCGTAAGAACTACCCGCCCCAGTGTCCAGTAACGCGCGACATTTCACACCATTGACGTCAACAATCACAACGGGGTAGGTTACCATCGCATTCCCTGTGCTTGAGGCAGTCAACAAGGCACTTGAGTTGTCAATTCCATCATTGTCACGATTATCACAGATGCTCGTATGGTGGCGTCGATTACATTTTTGGCATACCGTGCGTGATTTGCATTCCGAAGCTTTGTGGTTAGGCCGAGCGCAATTGAAGCATAGCTGTTTCGAACTAAGCAACTTTTTCCTGTCAACTGTTAGTTCTACTTTCTTACAATCAACAGATCTGTGATCTGCGCCATCACAATACACGCATGCTCTAGGGTTTCTTACTTCACGGTCTTCTTGTCTGGTATTAAAATTCCTCTCACGCTTGAGGGGAAACTGAGGGGGTTTCATTGCATGCTTCTCGTTTGACGGCTTAATGGGGTTGCGCACCGTCCATTTTTCTAGAGCTTTTACTAGTTCGGGGAATTTCCACTCCTGCCAGTCATCGTCCATACGAACAAGGTCCCCTCTAATGCCCTCTAGTTTGTCGATCGTGGCCCTGACATAACCATTTACTTCATTTAGCTTTCCTAGGGTTTCTAAGGACTGTACATTACACATTAGTTTCTCGTAAAACTCATGTATCTTTGATGGCTGGCAGCCGTGAATGTTAGGCAAGGACATGATATTTTGCACATAACTATTTACTATCTCGCTAGATTTCCCATACCTTGTTTGCAGAATATTTCTGGCTCTTTCGTAGCCCTCGGTTGTGCACGGCAACCCTTGAATTGCGATCCTCACCTTTGGCGTTACTAATTCTTTTAGGTAATTGAACTTTGTCACTGCTGGGATTTCTGCTGCCTGGATTTCTGCTTCGAACTGGTTCCAGAACCGTAACCAATCTGCGTAGGTGCCGTCGAACTTTGTAATCTGCAGCTTCTGAAGCCTCACATTGGGTTTCCGCGATTCGTTCTTGCTCGATCTTTTCGTTCGTTCTTCTGTTATTTTCTTTTCATAAACTAGCTGTAACTCCAGTTTCTCCTTGTCGTATTTCAGCTTTTCCTGGTACTGTTCATCTCTGCCTTGAGCGGCTAGGTTCTCTTTCTTCCTCAGTTCATTCTTTTTGGTAGTCTCGATGACGGTCTCCAACTCGGAGATCGCATTCTCGATAGGTATAATGTCGTTCGATTTTATTCCTTCGGTCCATGCTCGTACCTCATCAGGTGTAATTCCCTCGCCAAGCTTGATTTCTTGAATGCGTAGCTTCAAATCATGTACTTCTTGTAGTTTATCGTTTAGCGTTTTCCGTTGACGCTCCAGCTCGTTAGTCTTGGCTTTAGTAATTATCTCCCTCGTTTCTTCGTTAGTGAGTCGAAGGAGATCTGCTTTTGTTTTTAATTGTTTCACAAGATCCTCTGATGGTTGCGTCTCGGTCATCCCGTCGGAGGTGCCACTGTATCGGGAATTGTTTCCCCCGATCAATAATCACTCGCAGATTCTGGTTTTCTTTTAAAAGTTTTTATTCGCAATATCTACTCTCCGCGCTGTCTCACACCACTCTGCCCTCACTCTCATCTCACTCCCATACTTATCTTGTCAATCAGCTGTTATTTTACCTTGTTCACATTACTCGCACATATTTCGCAATGTCTCCTATAAATGTTCTGCAATTAAAAGTTCAATTAACGCTAATGTATATATATATATATAGTCACTAAATGATGAATAGCTGTCAACTTCCCAACAAAACTATACCATCAAAATTCACAATCTAATAACAATGAAATTATCTCTGAAAAGCCAGTCTCCATGAATTCACAAAAAAGAAAAGAATATATGAAGGAATACATGAGGAAAAAAAGGTTGAACAACAAATTTAAAGAAAAAGAAACTGTGAGAAAAAAATCATATAATAAGAAATACAAAAACACAAATTCTGAGAAAATAAAGGACTCTTGGCGAAAAGCAACTGCAACATACAGACAATCAAATACTGAGAAAATAAAAGAAATTGCTAAGATGGCCACTGCAACATACAGGCAATCAAATCCTGAGAAAGCAAAACAGAGTTTAAAGACATCCACCGCAACATACAGACAATTAAATCCTGAAAAGGCAAAACAGAGTTTTAAAACATCTACTGCAACATACAGACAATTAAATCCTGAAAAGGCAAAACAGAGTTTTAAGACATCCACTGCAACATACAGACAATCAAATCCTGAAAAGGCAAAACAGAGTTTCAAGACATCCACTGCAACATACAGGCAGTTAAATCCTGAGAAAGCAAAACAGAGTTTTAAGACATCCACTGCAACATACAGACAATTAAATCCTGAAAAGGCAAAACAGAGTTTTAAGACATCCACTACAACATACAGACAATTAAATCCTGAAAAGGCAAAACAGAGTTTTAAGACCTCCACAGCAACATACAGACAATTAAATTTCGAAAAGGCAAAACAGAGTTTAAAGACATCCACTGCAACATTCAGACAATTAAATCCTGAAAAAACAAAACAGAGTTTTAAGACATCCACTGCAACATACAGACAATCAAATCCTGAAAAAGCAAAGAAGAGTTTTAAAACATCCACTGCAACATACAGGCGATTAAATCCTGAAAAAGTAAAACAGAGTTTAAAGACATCCATTGCAACATACAGACAATTAAATCCCGAAAAGGTTAAAGAAATAAATAAAACAACTACTGCAACATATAGAAAATTAAATCCTGAAAAGGTTGCAGAATCATCAAAATTGTCAAATATGTACAAGCAAAAGTATCCAGAAAGAGTTAAAATACCCAGAAAAGACAATATGCTAAAAGAAAGTTAGATTGTAGTGAAAATGGAACAATGATTAATAAATACAAGAAAGTAGAAAATAATTTGAATGACAGTATAGCTGAGACTCCAGAGATACCTAGTAACTCTGATGATTTGAGACAACAAATTTACCTTACAAAGGCAATTGAGTTATTTCATAAGAACATAAGTGTGGGACCAGAATATATTTGTACCTGTTGTGATCAATTATGGTATAGATCATCTGTCAGTGAATGTAATGTTTCTTTATATAAATCTTGTTCAAAAAATATCCTTAATTTATGTCTAACTGGTGTGAGGAGTACTGATAACACTGAATGGATATGTGGTACATGTCACTCAAACTTAAAAGTTGGTAAAATTCCAAGTTGCGCTAAAGCAAACAAAATGACCTTCCCGGAAAAGCCTGAGGTTTTAAAAAACTTAACACCTCTTGAAGAAAGACTAATTTCTCCAAGAATACCTTTCATGCAGGTACGGGAATTGCCTAGTGGAGGTCAATTAAGTATTCATGGAAATGTAGTTAATGTTCCTGCAGATGTTAACACAACCGTTAGTGTTTTACCAAGACCATTGAATGAGTCACAAACTATTCCAATAAAATTGAAACGTCGTCTCGGTTATAAACACCATTACCAATTTCAGAATGTTAGACCTACGAAAGTGGTAGAAGCAGCTCAATACTTGGTTCGGACTAGTGAAATATTCAAAAACGAAGGAATACAAGTAATGGATAATTATGTGTTAAATCCAGTCAATAATGACGATGAATGGTCAGAATTCATTACTAAGAATAACAACGAAACTTCAGATAATCCATCAAACGATGTAAACACTCAAAATCAAGAAACAGCAGACACAGGAACAAGTAACAATTCCGTTGATAATGACACTGACGATGAGTGGTGTGAAATAACTGAACGACCCTCAGGTGTTATGGATACGTTATTACAAGAACCTGACGTTACTCAACATGGTGATAAAATAATCAGTTTTGCACCAGGAGAAGGAAACAGACCACTTGGTATATTTTTAGATAAAGACGCTGAATTTCTGTCTTTCCCTACCATTTATTGTGGCAAACGTCAAGCTGATAACAGTGAAAGACTAGTGCCTGTTCACTATAGTATGATTTGTAAGTGGGAATTAAGAAGTCAGGATCGAAGAGTTGCTCAGTCTGTACCAAACATTTTTTAGAAATTAAAAAAATTGCAGATCAAACAAATTCAAGGAAGTGCAAGTTTATCGTTGCGTAAATGTAAAACTAAGGGTAAGACTTACACAGCAGGAGATTTGAAGTCTGAAAGTTCTGTTAATAAGTTAATCAATTTAGATGAAGGATTCAGAGTTTTAAGAAATTTACGCGGTTCCCCTCCATACTTTGAAAGATGCAAGAAAGATCTATTTGCAATGATTCGTCAGCTAGGGACACCTACATGGTTCTGTTCATTTTCAGCTGCTGAAACGCGCTGGATTCATTTAATTAAAATTCTTGGTCGTCTTATTGACAAAAAAGACTACACTGACGATGAGGTTAAACAAATGACTTGGCAAAAGAAGTCTGAACTGATACAAAAAGATCCAGTAACATGTGCACGAAATTTTGAACATATGGTGCAGTTATTTATTCACAATTTTATAAAAAATCCATGCCATCCAATTGGAGAAGTTGTTGACTTTTTCTATCGTGTTGAATTCCAGCAAAGAGGTTCTCCACATATCGATGGATTATTCTGGATAAAAAACGCACCCGAGTATGGTAAAGATTCCGATGAAGTTATTACCAAATTTGTAGACACCTACATTTCGTGTAAGACTGACTCAGATGGCTTAACTGAATTAATAAATTTACAAAGACATAAGCACTCCAAAACGTGCAAGAAAAGAGGAAATGCTGTTTGCAGATTTAATTTTCCATTACCACCAATGCCAAGAACTATGATTTTAGAGCCATTATCTGAAACTGATCTAGACGAAGATATCTTGGATATACTAAAAAAAGCTTTAGAACGAATACGTTCTTTATTAAACTCTATTAAAGCTGATGAAACCATGACCTTTGACGAGTTTCTCGAAAAGTTCAATTTATCGGAACAGCAATACTTAAAAGCTATAAGACTTTCTCTTAAACATAACACTTTATGATTGAAACGATCACCTGCTGAGATACGAATTAACTGTTACAATCCAAACTTACTCAGAGCATGGAGGGCAAATATGGATATTCAGTACGTGTTAGATCCTTACGCTTGCGCTGTTTATATCCTTTCATATATTACTAAAGGTCAAAGAAGCAAAAGAAGGCAATAAGAACATTGTTAACAAAGTGAGACATATTGGTAACAAATTTCTCAATGCTGTCGAAATAAGTGCACAAGAGGCTGTCTACTTAGTAATGCAAATACCTTTGAGACGATCATCTCGAGATTTCCAATTTATCAATACATCTGACCCAGATGAAAGAACATTCTTATTAAAAGCATGGATAAAATTAAAGAACTTCCTGATAATTCTGCTGATATTGAATCAGATAACATTATTAAAAGATACCAGAGAAGACCAAAGAAAGTGGAAAATTTATGTCTGGCGGATTTTGTCGCTTGGTTCAATTGTAAAAGTAACAGTAATCAACAAAGCAAACACAAATCAAATTCAACATTAATAGATGATTATCTTTTAGAGAGTAATTTCGATGATAATGTAGATGATGATCTTTCTGATAAAGAACAGGAAAAAAATGAAAATGACCAATATGAAATGAAAGGTGGAATATCGCTGGTGAAAAGGCAAAAGCCAAGAATAATACGGTCTGTTGGATTTAATAAAAACAAAGATGCAGAAAATTATTGTAGAGAACAGATAATGCTTTACACTGCTTGGAGGAATGAAAATACAGATCTTTTGAAGGACTCGAGAAATTACCAAGACCAATATGAAATTGTCAAAGATGTGATAGAACAAAACAGAAAACAATATGAGAATCACACCGAAGTTCTTGATCAGGCCGTACAAGATATTGAAAGTGAAGAGAATTTAGTCGCTCCAAATACACAGTATAGAGATGAACAAGACAGAGAAATTGGCCCGAAAGCAAGTGAATTATTCAGATGCTTTGATCCTGGAAAAGATAAACAACATGCCCAGTACGACTTGATAAATGATATTGGCATTTATCCCCGAACAAACGATGACGAAGAACTTGTTGTAAAAAGGCTGAATGATGTCGATTTTAGAAAACTTGCCCAATCCCTTAATGTTGAACAAAAAGAGTTTTTTTACCATGTACTAAACTCTATCAAGACTGATAAGCCGCCAATGAGACTATTTTTAAGTGGAGGTGCTGGTGTAGCTAAAAGTACTGTAACTAATGCTTTGTATGAAGCTCTTATAAGATACTTAAATTCTCAACCTCAGAATGATCCTGATGATGTCAGTGTTGTAAAAGTTGCCCCGACAGGTAAAGCTGCTTTTAACATAAGAGGAAATACACTTCATGCCGCGTTTAAAATTCCCGCGAACAGAGGATTTAATTATTGTACTCTAGATAGAGACCGGTTGAACACAATAAGATCTCAGTTACACAGAATGCAAGTTATCTTTATTGACGAGATATCTATGGTGGGCAGTGGTATGTTTAATTTTCTTGACCAAAGATTACAACAAATCATGGGCACAAAAGAATCATTTTGGTGGTCTTAGTATATAACTGTTGGCGACTTTTTCAACTGAAACCTGTATTTGATAATTGGATATTTGAGAATTCAAAGGACGGTTATGCTGCATTAGCAACAAATCTCTGGCAACAATATTTTCAAATGTTCGAATTATCAGAAATTATGAGACAAAAAGAAGACAAAGAATTTGCTCAAATTTTAAATCGTATCAGAGAAGGAAATCATACTGAAAATGATCTTGAGGTTTTCAAGGAAAGAATTTTAAACCTTAGTCCACAACATCCTGATTATCCAATATCTTCAACCCATTTATTCAGTACTAATATGGCAGTTGATCAACATAACCATGACGTTTTTCAGAAATTGTCAAATGAAAAGGTCAACGTTAAAGCAATAGATATCGTACTTGGAGACTTATCTGACGATTTAAAAGAAAGACTCAAAAAGCAAATCCCAAATGATCCTTCAAAAACCATGGGCTTGTACTCAGTGTGTTCAATACTTAAAGAAGCTAAGTATGACCTCACGACAAACGTATCAGTTGTAGATGGTATGACTAATGGTGCTGAATGTATCATCAAGAAAATCGATTACCGCGTAGAAGGCTCATCACTACTACAAAACTACAATATTGCATCCTCAGGTCTAAATGATAAAATTTGGATTTTGCCAACTATTAGCAAGAACGAAGATCCGCAACTTTAATAACTACACACTATATCTACTCCTGGAACACACCTATCAATTGTAAATTGTCAGTTATCGTGATACAATGAAGTCACATGAAAACTACCGAACTACGATCAAGTTAAATCGTAAAGAGCGAATTCCAGGCCGAGTGAAAGATAACAAGAACGCACAGTTTCAACATAAAAGCCACAAGAAATTAATGCCAGTGACACGAAAAGAAATTTTACAACTATTATTAATTATCGGTGAACTGTCAACTTCTAGAAACGGGTGAACGGATTATTCAGTTGAGAACTGACGTCATTGTTCTATCTCACACGAAGAAGAGTGGTGAATGTAAATAATTACGATTTATCTCCCAATGAATTTACAAACGCATGTCGAATACTAATGGTCCAACGTAATACCATCAAACGTATACAACCACGTCCTACATGCCATGCACATGAATGAATATATCGTACAAAGACTTTAAATATCTGAACATACAGTTAGATATGGTGTATCCTTTCAAGTGGATCATAAACAACGCCGACTGTAACACGTCCATCAATGTATCAGTAAAAGAAACAAGTGATGGTAATGCGATCAATGCTACCACACTGAATTTAACTGTAAGTGTCGAACTCGACGAACAGTTAGTGTGATAAACAGCTATTATATCAAAGCTTCCAAAGTACATGGAACATGCTTCTTTGTACCGTTAAAGACACCACCAAATCTCCTACTTTATTCGAACAGTATCTACAATCCTGAAGATACAAGGACTTTAATGCCTGTATGTATGAAATGTCATACAACCTGTTCGTTAACTATCTCGATAACGAAATCGTGTTGCTAACTTTACGATAGCGCATGACTAATTTGCGGGGTATTTCGTTCGTTAACGTCTTTGTCCACTGTTATTCTTTGTCTGTTTTTTACTTGTTTGTTAACTCCCCGCTACTTCCATTGCTTGATTTGTCGTCGTTTGTTTGTCATGTTTGTCGAAAAGTGTGTCCTAATGTTTGTCTTACTTCTCAATGTTTACTGAACAATTATTTCAACTGTTTTTGCAAACCTGTTATTGGAGAAAGTCCTCTCTATGTGTATAAATTCAGCTGCTCTGTGTAAATCTATATGTTTGTCAGCCACCTATCCTGTTTAAGTGTATATGTTTTTAAGTTGTTTGTCGAATAATTTTTCCTAATGTTAGTCTCACTCCTCAATGTTTACTGAGCAATTATTTCAACTGTTTTTGAACTCTGTTATTGGAGAAACTCTTCTCTGTGTGTAATTCCATGCATGTATCTTTATCTCTTTATAGCAAAAAGTGTAAAATAAAATAAATAAATATTATGCCACAAATTAACTCTTGTCACAAACACTAAATAGGAAAATAAAAAATTCAAACAGCCTTGTCGTATTTTACATCTACTTTGAAAATACACTGACTATACTTTCAACGTTTGTTATCGGAATGGGATTGCGCAAATTAAGATATTTTACGGTCCTGAATATTCAAGATGCAAAAATATTACAAAACATTACAAAAATATTACAAACTACCGTTAAATTTCAATTTTGGCGACGTCGCCAAAACTAAAAGTTACACCCGTAAAAGTGTCACGTTCGACTTTTCAAACATGCTAATTATAACTTTTTAAAACCTTGTTTTGACGGCGCGCTTAACGGAAGCTTGCAAATGGTTGTATTGACAAAGAAATTACAATGCGACTTAACGTCACCGTGCAAGATTGACATGCAAAATTGTGCATGGTAGGCAGTGACATGCAAGATTGTACAATATCTGTCTGTTTATAATCAGATAAATCGGCCCATTTTAGCACCCATTTTGCAATATTGTTGATAATTCTCAAATTCCCACATTTGATTCGTTAACTTTCGCAGTAACCATAGTTAATACACCTTTTCTTTATACGGTGTGCAGAAAAAAGCAACCTCGGAATTTCCTAAGAAACCACTTTCTGCTTAATGCTTATAAGGCACAAACTTTGCACTATCCTTGGATCACTAGTTCACTTTCTGTACTGAGAATGTGAGGTTTGTCCGATTAGGACTCACATAAACAGTCAAAAAGTCTTTCTTCAATGCCAATGTTTCTTTAACAGTGGATCTTGTTTTTTCATCTGCAGTGCCAGTAAGTGCAGCAACTGGAGTGCCTATAGCAATCATATTTAAAAAATAGTACACGACACTATTCTCACTGTGGAACAACTTACCTTGTTTACACAAAGAATGAAGAACTGCTAGTTTCCCAAAGCTTGCACGGAAAGCTGCGATACTTTTTTTCCACTTTGTCGTTGATCTACAAGTTATTACAACCAACAACATAGATCAGCTTAGTTAGAGGTACAGAGCTCAGCCCAGTTTAGAGTTAATAAATACTACGTTTGGGGACAGGGAGTTGCTAATATTAGTATTTATAATAAAGTAATAAATTTCCAAAATCTATAACTTGTGTATTGAGTCTGCTCCAAGCCTGCTTTCTTTGCAATATATAAAAAGACATAATTACTTTACCTCTTGCCAGTCCAAGTTTTGACCGTGTGGCATTCATCTACGACTAAAGCTGCAAGGTTCTTGTGAAGGAGCTTACTCTTGCACTTCAAAACTTTGGTAAACTCTTTGTCTAAAACTTCCTCGGCTGACGCAAATACAAGCTGGAACTTCCCATTAGCAACATCTTCAAGAGATTCGGATAAAGAGGTGGCTGTAATTCCCATAGATATGGCTTCCTTGATTTGATCGCTGGATATACTTTTCAGCGGGCAGACAACAACAATGATACATCCTTGCTTCATTAATGCCAACAGCTAAAAAATCAGACTTTTCCCGAATCCAGTGGGAAGAACAGCAAGTAAATCGCCTTCTGTTTACAGCTGCATTAACGAAGATTTTTGTTCTTCACGTAACACTCAGGAGAATCCGCGGTCTGCTAGATACTGTAATGCTTTCTCTAACTCACTCTCAAAGTCTGCCATATTTTGCCGATGAATAGCACTCTGCCGGAAGTGGCTGTGACGCGGATATGACTGGACAGCCAATCAGACGCCCCGTTCGCTGGCGAACGGTGTTTTTCAAATTCGGGGGGTTTGTCTGCAAGCGTTTCCTTCCCTTTCCTCCCTTCCCTCTCTTCCCTCCCCTCCCTTCCCTTTTTCCCCTTCACTTCCCTTCCCATAAACACATTTAGTAAACATTCTCAATCACTACACCTGTAGTGTTCATATACTTTTAGTAAACCACACTGACCTAGTGCACATATATACATTTAGTAAACCAAGCGGAAACGCTTGCTACGCAGGCTATTAGATTTAGAAATCTCAAGTTCGGGCGTTAATGTTTTTCGTAAACCTACACACACCGGCCAGTATACACATTTTGATAGCTTTGAGCCATGGCCACGCAAAACAGCGTGGATCAAATCACTGTTTTTCTGTGCGGCCAAGATTTGTACGAACTCAGCGTTTCTCAACAAACAAATCTCGCAAATTTCTGAGTTTATGGCCTGAAATGGTTTTAAAGCAAATGTTAGCTTTTCCATGATACGAAGACTAAAACAAAGGTATGCGGTCGATAATGAATATAATGAAACTAATGGTAATACGGCATCAGGAAATACTGAAAATCCCGAGGACACTAGGCAAAAAATCTGGTTAAGGATTCCTTTCTTAGGTAAACAAGGTGAATTTTTAGTCAAAAAGCTTATTAAAAAGCTCCAGCAGAACCGGTTAAATTTATTGTTATATACCAAACCAAAAAGATTTCTTATTTCCTTCCTAAAAAGGATAAAATTCCGGATATGTCGCGGAACAATCTAGTTTACGAATTCACTTGTCCGGGCTGCAATATGTCGTATATTGGAAAAACTGAGCGAAATTTGGCAACGAGGCTTTCAGAACATTTGGATCCACTAAAAAGCGCAGTTTCGAAACACTTAATGGACTGTGACGACGCAAACTACCTACTTAACATGAACAATCTTTTTGACAAGCTTAATGATTCTGGCTCCTTTTACTCTTACGCTGAACTCGTACCTAGCAATACAAAAATACTCCAGTCTCTCAACAACACAAACTCTAATCTGTTGTTGTTCCTCGAGGCACTGCATATAAAGTTTGAAAAGCCAGAACTCAATAGCGGCTTAAAGGCATCAAAGGAACTTATAGTTTTTCCTTAGAGTGTATCACTATGTGCATGCAAATATCTTGTGATGCCATGTTCTCGTATTTCTTATTAACTCGCTGATTTACGTCATTGTTACTTCCTGACAAATTTGTATATAGATCGCAGCTTGCTTGTAAATAGTTAGGTTTGACAATGACTTTGAAATAGAGTCGAAATATCACCTTGAATATTGCGTCTTGTTTTTAACAACTCATATCTTGGGTTTACAAGATGTTTATTTTCGTATTATAATGCACCCAGAATGAAGTTCTAAGTAAAACCACCATGCGTATACAGCCTAGAATTGTTTAAAGTCTTAACACTTATAGTAATACAACCTTATAAACTAGTTTAAACAACAAAACAAACAGATAAAGTTATATAAAACAATATTATAAAACCATGTATGCAAACAGTTAATATTAAAGAATCATGTAAGCAAACAGCCAATATTATAGAATCATGTAAGCAAACAGTCAATATTATAGAATCATGTAAGCAAACAGTCAATATTATGGAAACATGTAAGCAAACAGTCAATATTATTGAATCATGTAAGCAAACAGTCAATACTATAGAATCATGTAACACAAACAGTCAATATTATAGAATCATGTAACACAAACAGTCAATATTATAGACTCATGTAAGCAAACAGTCAATATTATAGAATCATGTAACACAAACAGTCGATATTATAGAATCATGCAAGCAAACACTCAATATTATAGAATCATGTAAGCAAACACTCAATATTATAGAAACATGTAAGCAAACAGTCAATACTATGGAATCATGCAAGCAAACAGTCAATATTATAGAATGATGTAAGCAAACAGTCAATACTATAGAATCATGTAAGCAAACAGTCAATATTATAGAATCATGTAAGCAAACAGTCAATATTATAGAATCATGTCATAGGCAGCCCAGACTTTTATATCTTTTTTGAGATATTAACTAAATGCTCATTGGCTTACCTGCAGGACCACCAATGAGAACCAATGAGCGTGTTTAGTTGATATCTCAAAAAAGATGACGTTTCCTTAGGCGGAGTGACACTTGGATAGTTTTCTCAAAATTCCGTATGAATTCCTGTTTTATTTCACTGATTTGAAGGCTTTAGATGTTGTTTAAAAACACGGAAACTGCAGGATAATGTAGTTAAATCATCGGTAATTATTAGGTTGTAGTTTTTGTGGCATTTCTTCAAGTATTTTTTTAGATAATAATAATTCATTTACGAAGGTATATCTGTCATATTTTGATAAACTCTTTCTTACCTTGTCATAATATATAGACGAAGTAAACAACGTAAGCGCAACACACACGCGAGTATCACACGCGCAAGTCAAAGTCTGGGCTGCCTATAGCCGTGTTTACACTACAAGCCTGAGCCTGGCCTAGGCCTGGCTTTGGCCTAGATCTTCCTAGTGTAAACACACTTTGGCCTGGCCTAGGCCAGGAAATCTAGGCCCATGGTAACAGGTGGCCTAGGCCAGGCCCAAGGCTGGCTTTTTGGCGGGAAAAGCAAATAAACATGGAATTTGAATTTGAACTGGACAGAATAGGAAACTGTCCCGCAGACAGAATAGGAAAATGTCCCGCAGAACGAATTGGACAACTACAGTATTCGTAACAATGTGATTTATGGTAAACTTTCAGCGGCCTTGTTGGACTAGGGGATTTTACGCACTGCTAAACAGTGCAACCACAAACTAAAACATCTTTGCGAAAAATACAGAGAATATAAAAAATATACACAAAGTAAAAAAACTTGTGATATGCAAACCGCTGAAATTCTAGGCCAAAGTCAGGCTGTCGAAGCGTAAGTGTAAATGCTTCGTTCTAAAAAGATCTAGGCCAAAGTCAGGCCTAGGCCAGGCTCAGGCTTGTAGTGTAAACACGGCTTATGATCATGTAAGCAAACAGTCAATATTATAGAATCATGTAACACAAATAGTCAATATTATAGAATCATGTAAGCAAACAGTCAATTATAGAATCATGTAAGCAAACAGTCAATATTATAGAATCATGTAAGCAAACAGTCAATATTATAGAATCATGTAAGCAAGCAGTCTATATTATAGAATCATGTGTAAATATTATAGAACAAGCTGGGATATATTTTTTAGTGCCATTGTGAGTTGATAATTCATGCCATAAAACCATAAGAAATCACATAAGTGTGAAATTCCCTGATGCACATTTGAAAACTATGTAAAGCAATCATGCACAATGATTTTAATGTGTAGAGCACAGATATATAAAATAACTTCATTCAATTTTCTATATATAAGTGTAATCGCATGCTAAACTCAGTGTAACTCCTATTCACTTGAATTTAGAAACGATCTACAATATTTCCTGTTATATTTAAGTGAGATTGTCGACGCCATGCTCGGCTATGATAAACAAAATAATTAAAATACTACGCATAAGTAGTCAAAATCGTCTTACCTTAGCTGCACACTTTTAGATACAACTAGGATCTTGCTCTGTACACGCCAAATCACAAAGATACGAAAAAAACTGAAGAAAACCACCAAAAGATACACAGAGTCCAAGCAACAATACTAATTTGCGAATATCGCGAGTAAAGGGGGTCTGGAACTAGGAACGAAAAAACCATTTCTGCCTTTCTGTGTCTTTGTAATTTTAATTACTAATTTTTTTAGTATTAGGGATACAAGTCTATCCGAATTTTGAACACAAAACAAAGCATATCCCCTGAGCTGTCATTAAGTAGATCAATGAAAAGGCGGATTTCTAGTTAAAAACCAGTTCCAATCGTTTTCCAAGTTTTTAAGATATTAAAAAATATAATAAATGAACTTGCATACATTGTTTTGCTCCCAAGAGCTTTGTTCTGATATGCAAGGTTTATAAAGGATTGCCAAAATTTCAGAAATTCTGTGGAAAAAAATTGATTTAAGAAAGAAATGGATGAATCACTCAGGTAGGCTTAAGGCAATTTTTAGTCCTTTGTTAAATGCAGATTTATCAAAAATAATTGCATTTCAGAGCGATAATTATCATTTTTTAGGGGTTAATGTTCGAACAGTTCTTGACAACCCAGTTTCATCAATGAGATCAGAGGCTTTTAAAACCCTTATTTCAGAACCTTAAATGAAGTAAAATTCCACCAAAACTTCTATATGAGTTGCTTATAATATGTACTTTCGTCAAAAACTCATGCGCTTAATTCTGAAAAACTTTGATTTTCTTGCAATAGGGATCTTTCGTAACCTTGCAGTTGGCCAAAAACAATTAAAAAATCATAGGAAGGAAATATCCGATCAGCCCCAAATTTTAATGCCTTTTATAAATAACCAACCCTGACATTCAGTCCAAATTTCGTCGAATTTTGATGAAATTTAGTAGTAGAACCCCATTTTGTATATCAATTTTCAATTTCATGAAAATGGGATGTCAGCCTGGGAAGGGTTCATATTATTTCCACTTGAAAATTTGAATAAAACAGAAAAATGATGATAAAGGGTAGTGCTTATGAAGATAATCGACTAAAGTGTCTTATTTAGTTTATTTATTACAATTCCATGCAAACAAAACGATACTTTATTCATTTACGTAAACACTGCACAAGGATCTTTTGTAACCTCTATTGTGTTCT